CCTACTTATTTAACAAGATTAACAATGAGAGAATAATAAATAAAGTTAAAGTAATTAACATGCAAACACATTGCCAAAAGTAAATAGATCAATGTCTTTACAAAACGAAAAGAAAACGTTTTATTAAGCAGCTCGGTATGTGTGCGTGTGCGTGTGCGTGTGCGTGTGTGTGTGTGTGTGTGTGTGTGTGTGTGTGTGTGTGTGTGTGTGAAAGGTGTGTGTATGGTGTGAGTGTGTATGACAGTGTTGAGATTTCTGAAACTTAGTTTATTCTGGCTAAGATCATTTCGGTTTCATCATATGATTATATGACTATTATATGTATTGACGAGCACTTTGCAGCAGGCTTGGTTGTAACTGTCATTAAGGGTCTGATGATGAGAACGAAGGACAGCTCAAGGAACTCCTGAACGGTTTACAGTAACTACTTCGTATTTGAACTTAATTCATTTATATTGATGAAAACTTTGTACCTGTATGTATTATAACAACTGAAAGTCTGCAGTTTACCTGATGATGGAGACCATTGACCGACGAGGGAATTCCGGATGGAACCGAGAGACAGTCGAGAGAACTCCTCAACGATTCATAGCAGCTTCCTTGTGTTTGAGCTTAATTAATTCGTTTTGATAAGAACTTTACATCTAGATGGATTGTGACTGTCATCAATGATCTGATGATGAAGACGAAGGACAGTCTAGGGAACTCCTCCACGGTTTACAGTAGCTACCTCGTGTTTGGACTTAATTTATATTGTTAAGAACTTTCCTAGAGAGATGGCCTGTGTTCCAGTAGTGGGAATATTAAAATGGCTGATAATGATGATGATGATGATGATGAGAACTTTCCCATTTCTTGAGATCTATTTTTTTTAACGAGCGGCTCCTTTCGTTGGCCTAGGTACACAAAGCTACTTAAAAAGTATATACTATTCAATATGTTAATTTATATTTAAAATGTTACTGTAGTTTACAGAAGAACTTGGAACAGATACTAAAAAGTAAAAAATAAAAAAAAACTACGTTTAAAAAAACCGACTTCAAAAACAAAAAAGTGTCAAATAAGTAATTAAAATTGATATTTTAATAGCACTCTTACGTACGCGAAGCTAATACTTTTAATATTAATAATAAAACACTATCAATTCTATGTGCTACCTATTCATAGATTTGAAGTCGGTGCCAAGCCCTAAACAGAATAAAACTAAATGAGAATTAAGACTGTTTAATTGCTGAAAGACGAAATTTCCACAACTAACAACGCAGCCATCTACTACTACTTTTAACAACCAAGTACGAGAAAACTTTCATAATTCATCCAAATATCTTTCTAAGCTATATACAGTTTCGCCGGTAACGCAACCATATAGACTTCTGATTCTACGCTTACGCCATCAAGTTAGAAAATCGGTACTACATTTCTTAAATCCTAACAAATAAATTCACACGCGCCCGGCGAGTGTAGGTACTCATGTAATCATGCTTATTATATTATGTATTAGGCTTGGCACCGACTTCAAACCTATGAATAGGTAGCACATAGAATTGATAGTGTTTTATTATTAATATTAAAAGTATTAGCTTCGCGTACGTAAGAGTGCTATTAAAATATCAATTTTAATTACTTATTTGACACTTTTTTGTTTTTGAAGTCGGTTTTTTTAAACGTAGTTTTTTTTATTTATAGTATAGAATCTAAATTATTGAATAAACTAGCTGTGAACCATTGAACATTTACTACAAAGAAATTTTAGTCATTTTAAAATTGGTAGAGTGTATTCGAACACCAAAAGTTGTAAATGGTCGCCAAATCTTAGCGAGGTAATTTGACTGCACGGTTGGCGCGTTGGCTGGGCAACTGGCTGCCGCGCAATGTGTCGCGGGTTTGACTGCACGGAACAACTCTTTGTGTGATCCACAAATTGTTGTTCCGGGTCTGGGTGTGATGTGTATGTGAAATTGTATGTTTGTGAACGCACCCACGACACAGGAGAATATTCTAGTGTAAGGCTTTTAAAAAAATGCCTAAGTTTATGTATCTCAATATATTAAGTACTACCTAATCTCGCGCGGTTCCACCCGCTGCGCGGCACCATTTGATCGTAGCGTAATGTTTTATAGCCTATAGCACTCAGGACAGGAACATTGTAGCTATCTATCAGTGAAAGAATTTTGGCAATCTGACCAGCGGTTCCAAAGATTACCCCCTACATACAAACTTACAAATTTTACCTCTTTATAATATTAGTATATATTAAAATGCGTTCCTAATCTTTTTTTTTTATTTGTTCTTAGAGATGGCTTAGGGACTAATCACAATATTATAAGTAACATATTAAAAAACTTAAATTGCCAATAACAAGCTTCCACAGATAATTTTTCAACCTATCGATATTTACAAGTTTCATAGTTATACATCATATGGTTTGCTAAACTGAAAAGAGGCCTAACTCAAAAAATAAAGTTTTTCAATCTTAAAAATTATGCTTCAATAATAAGGTTCAATTTTGGAATATCCTCATTTTTGAGTTAGTCCTTTTTTTCTATTTAACATGCGATATGTAGGTAATATGCTGTTACAGTCTTTATACCCTAGGTGCCTTCAGTTTGAGTGTTATTTCTAGCCGATTACATAATTCACAAATTTAGTTAAAATTTAAATAATTATTCGCAAAAAAAAAACAGTTTTGCCAAACGTCGCCTTACTACGTTCGATTTTGTGCAAAAAATGTGTAAATCTTGGTGATAGTTAACTATTTGCGCCTTTTATATATTACTATATCGAGTGATAAGCTAAAAGAAAAGTGCAGTAACAAAAAATCTAGCCACTCACTTTCAATACAGTATAATATATCTTGTATAATTCCACATAGCACTTGACCTGAGAAGCAGTCAATCACTACAATCTATTTAGCTAGCTTTCTTTACATTCATACCTAAGTAGCTTTTTTTATGGTATAGGTCGGCTAACGAGCAGACGGATTACCTGATGGTAAGCAATCAGCGCCGCCCATGGACACCCGCAACATCAAAGGAGTTACGAGTGCGTTGCCGACCTTTTGGGGATAGAGGTTGCGGATATAAGGATCGGGAAGGGAAAGGATTGGGCCGCCGGTAACCTCACTCACACGGTGAAACACAAAGCTGTGAATGTTTCACGCCGGTTTTCTGTGAGGCCGTGGTATTACTCCGGTCAAGTCGACCCATTCATACAGCATGGCTCTCCCGCACTTACATATAAACGTTCAATTTTGCACTTTTTTGGGGGAACAATCATTAAGTCTCTCCCGCCCTAACGGCTGATTTTTCAATAGTCAGATAAATGTTATCTGAGGAATAAAATTGTTGCTGTCACTGTCTTATACAAACATTCTGACGCGACAGTATTTTAATTATTCCCCAGGTAACTTTTATCTAACCATTGAAAAAGAAAGGGAAGACGTCATATGTTTGTTTTTTGTACACTTGTGGGATTAAGGCGGCAAATAAAATGCAGTCGTTTTGTTAGTCTTTTATTTTTCCAATTAAACCGAGCACACAGAGTACACACCCCGAATCCTATGTTACGCCATCTTGCTTATTTTTCAAATTATATTCCATCCTTTCACTCTTTCACACACCATGTACTCTCTTTCTCTCATTTACTAATGCTTACAAAAAAAGTGTAGTTGTGAGTGGAAAATTATTTAATGACTTGTGGTAAGGCGAGAGAGAGTGTCAGACTCTTACTGACTAAAAACTCTCCTGTTCCTTCGGCGAAGGGTACTTGTCAGACTCTTACTGACTAAAACCAAACCGGTGTTCCTCCGATTACCCATGTGTCGGAGGAGCGGGTATCGCCGAAGCATTCGTCGCAACCCCCCGACGGGTATTGGCCCGCCAGATGGTAAGGCAGGCCCCGTCACCCACTGCGGCCGTCACCCCGACCGCAGGACTTCACTATGGGGCGCGCGCGGAACACGCCTACACAAGTACTTCCCGAAACACCGACTGAGTGAGCGACCACTAACAGTGCATCAATGCGCTTGCATCTGCATCCCCAGCTTGGCATCGACACTACGGGAACCTCTTCTGTTATGATCAAACTGTCCTTTGAGACGAGCGCTTATCTCTTTCTTCGCGAGCATAACTGCTTCGCAGCATGACTAGTCGGCTTCAAAATTCCTCTCGCTCCGCAGTATGACCTGGACTAAGGCCAAGCGCGAGATGTTAAAACAAAATGCAAATAAATTCCGAAAATAATCACATCATCAGCCTATAAGTGCCCACTGTTGAGCAAAGGCCTCTTCTCACACGCAGAAGGTCTGAACGTTAATCACCATGATTGCTCAGGGCGGATTGGCGATATGAACGTAGTAATACCTAGGTATGGCAGTTGGCACAGTCGGCTATGTGACCGGCGCCTGGTGCAAAGGGGCGTAGTTTCGATCTTTGTGTAGTTAAAAAAAAAAATTCGGATGCAAAAATAGGTACACTTTTTGCTCGACCAGGGACTTGAATCAAATACTTCTCAATCCGGAGAATCGTGAAAGTATAACACACACACACACACACACACACACACACACACACACACACACACACAATCACTTTCACCTGTCTACAACTTGTGAAAACAATTAATAGTTTTACAAAATCTACTTTTTCAAAAATATTGATTTTAATTTCTATTTTCGAGTGTCATCCTCTATTAAATTCGTCACAAAAAATGTAACAAACAAAAAACGCATGACTGAAATCGAAGTTAGGCTTGATTACAGAGCCGGATTATGAAAGACTAGCTTCCGCCCGCGACTTCACCCGCCTGGTATATATTGGTAGCCTATTTGTTAATCCAGGGTAAGTCACCTCCCGACCAGACCACGGCACCGGGGTAGGAGTAAGCGCAAAAGAATTTTTTTTTTCAGAAGGCATCGTTGAATGTGTTCCCCAGGAAAGGCGAGAGAGAGTGTCAGACTCTTACTATCCAAACCCCTCCCCCCGTACCTTCTCCTATTTTAGGCCGAGGCCGCGGTGCCGCATTGTGACTACCCCGCAACCCCAGCTGAACATCAGCCCTATTGGGCCCCGTCTGTGGTGGTCTATTGGCTCCTTGAGGCGCGCGCGGAACGCTACGCGCTGTTCGCTCGGGTCTGGTTCTGGTTGGGCGGCGAGCTACCCTTACTCGCCGTCCGCAGACCCGCAGACAGCGAGTAAGGGTAGGCCGGAGATCGTCCCTCAATCCCTAACGCCCGGAGTAATAGCTTAATCCGGCCCTGTCGACACACGTCAATAATTTTATGATGACTATTTTTTATAACGTATAGTAACAAGATCTTTAACTTCTAGTTTTAGGTTAAGATCTATGCTAAGGACTCTTCAAGCGTTAAATACCACAGCATTTAAACCTATACTTTTCTATCAAATTTCTTTAAAGGACTTGCAACTTTATCACCTTATTACAAGGTTGAAAACCGTTTGAATAAATTAGTGAATTGGTATACGTTGACCTGCTGTTCTGTGTCTACAAAAAATAACAGTTAAAATAGTTCGAATTGTAGAAAAATATACTAAAATTTTAGCTTTAGATTGTGGTAGGTAATGTTAGATCTTGATTGATTATGACATTTTTTGGTTATGTATAGCTGAGATTAAATTATAATTACAGTGATTTTTATACGATTGACTGCACGGTTGGCGCGGTGGCTGGGCAACTGGCTGCCACGCAACGTGTCGCGGGTTCGATTCCCGCACGGAGTAGCTCTGTGTGATCCACACCCACGACACAGGAGAAAATCCAAGTGTGGAGCAACGTTTTCTTAAAAAAAAAAGATTATAATGTATAGTCTATGATAATTTATTATGACGCTTAATATTTTTAGGATCAAATACTTCTACAGGGACAAGGATTTTCGATATTTTTTATGAAATATGTCGGTAAACGAGTAGACGAATTACCTGGTGGTAAGCAATCGGCGCCCATATGGACATTTGCAATACCGGAGGAGCACCGTGCCATGCTTTTTGGGGTTTCGGAAATTTAAGAATTGGGGAGCACGGAAAGAGGGGACGCATTGGGCCTCCGGTAACCTCATTCACACGGCGAAACACAATGCTGTTGTTGTTTCATGCCAGTTTTCTGTGAGACCGTGGTATTAATCCGTTCGAGCCGACCCATTGGTGCCGAAGCTTGGCTCTCCTAAAGTCCTAATTTTGACGTACGAAAAGCCGTTGTTTTTTTGTAAGAGAAGGAACTCTTGTTTAGTAATGAACTAGTTTCATAAATTATGTACAAGGTAAATCGCTACCTACATAGGTACCTAGTATATAAAACAAAGTCGCTTTCTCTGTCCCTATATCCCTATCTATGCTTAAATCTTTAAAACTACGCAACGGATTTTGATGCGGTTTTTTTTATTAGATAGAGTGATTGAGGAGGAATGTTTATATGTATAATAACGTCCATTAAATAGTGGGACACTGCAAACCAGCATTGCACCGATGGGTCGCTAGTAGGTAATGTTAATAATAGGACCTATGAAATTGCCGTTTTGCATGAAAAAATTTAAACGAATTTTTTGATTTGAAATGCGATGAAAATGTAACACTAATCAATAAACAAATGACTACTTTTGGAAAAAGAATCCCATGTTTTTAAAACAAAATTAATTAGCCTTAGCCTAACAAAAACTATTTTGATTTGAAAGGGCCAGTACTGTGTACCTATTATAAGTAGGTACATTATGGTACCAGATTTTAAAGTTGGTGATTACCGCCGAGGCGCATTGAGGCCCAAACCCTCAGGCGAGGGTCTTAAGGATCCGAGGACGGTAATGATCAATACACACGTGTGTCATACGACGTTTTTCAACACACTTCTGAATAAAATAATAAGTACTTACTTAAATAAAAAACTTCAAAAAATGAAAAAGAGACCAGTAGTGAAAAATGTATCGTAATGGCGGGAAAAATTAATCAGTATTCCCATGCGCGCGAATCGACCATAGACTAAAAATTATGTTTCTTTTTTTTGGGCTTTTCACTGATAGCGTTTTAGAGCAAGTGTAAAGCGTAACTCAACAAATAATTTAAAAAAACTCTACCTATTACTGACTCGTGAATAATAGTACCGAAAAAGTCACAGTTTGATTAAAGGTGTCATTACGTGCCTATTTTCCGTGGGATAAGGGCCAGTTTATGAGGAAGTGTATTGAAAAGTATAATTATTATACTTAGGTACTACATAATTAAATTATGAACTGAATAATTATGCACCACAGAAGTTTATAATTATAAAGGTGGCGCCCAGGAGCTTAAAGTCGTAGCTCTCGCCCTGTCAATTAATAAAAGTTTTTATACATACAAACATTCAAAGATAATCTTACGATATACATTCTAAACAAGATCATTCAGTCAGCTTGACGGGACGCGAGCGAGCGCGCGCATTCTAAAATTCCAAAATGGCGCTGCCACAGATAAAATATTCCATTATTATTTTAACAATATTCAACCTAAAAATGTTAAAAGCAGATGAAAATAGCTTATTAACGATTTTAGAAGAGAAATTCGAAAGTAAATTGAGTGATTTTAGTTATTTCGCGGCTAAATGGTTGGAGAGTTTTAATGATAAGCATTTGGGTAATAGTGAATTAGGCAGAATCTTGCACTATAAGGATTTAAAACCTAAACTTGGAAGTGAAGCCAGAGGTAAGTACTAGTATTTTGTTTAACAAAAATAAATGCTTATACTGTATAAGTAAATGCAAAAGAAAAATTACTTACTTAAAGAATAATACAACTTGCAAACTGACAAAAATATATCAATAACTTCTTTAGCCTATAAGCGCTTACTGCTGAGTAAAGGCCTCTTCTCACACGGAGAAGGTTTGAGCATTAACCACCACGCTTAATCAAGGTGTATTGACGATTTCAAACTTATGATAAGAAAGTATAAACAAGTCTAAGTTTCCTCGCGATGTTTTAGTCAGTTGAGATGAAATGAGTTCAAATCCTTGACTTAAAACTATTTTATACTAGCGGCCCGCCCCCTCTTCGCAAGGGTCCAACTATCTCGCTATCAAAGGGTCACTTTTTCCCAATTTTCCCCTATACTATTCTAATATTTTCTTTGATAAGAACCTTCTCCTGACAATAACAAACATAACAAAAAAGAATTAGCAAAATTGGTCCAGGCGTTGTTGAGTTATGCGCTTACCAACACATTTTGCGATCCATTTTTATATATAAGATATATAGATTTTATACCATGGTATAAATAAAGCCAGGATTCACCCGTGTGTTTTTTTATGTAGACGAGTAGTTAGATTCCCTGATGGTAAGCCATCGGCGATGCCTATGGACACCCACAACACAGGACAGCACCAGAGAACTTGCAAATGCAGTACCGCATTATACCGCGGCGCGTAGCGTTCCGCGCGCGCCTCAAAGAGCCATTCGACCACCACAGACGGGGCCCTAAAGGGCTGATGTTCAGCCGGGGTTGTGGGGTAAGCGCAATGAGGTACCGCGACCTCGGCACAGAGCAGGAGAAGGAACAGGGGGGTTTTTAGTCAGTAAGAGTCTGACACTCCCTCCTGCCCGGCCCTGGGCGGGAGAAGTCATTTGATGATTTTCCCCTCACAAAAAAAAAAAAAATGCAGTACCGGACCTTGGGAAATCCCTAAGGATTGGGAGGGATGGGAGAAGGATAAGGATTGGGCCTCCAGTAACCTCATTCACACGAAAGACAACGAAAGCGTTGTCTCCGAGTTTTCTGCGAAGTTGTAGAATCTAGTGGCTGGGAAATTAACTGCTATGCAACGTCTAGCGACTTCGATTCCCATACGGAACAACAGTTTGTGTGATCCACAAATTGTTGTTCCTAGTCTGGGTGGATTGTGTATGTGAATTTGTATGTTTGTTAAAGGACTCACGACACAGGAGAAATTCCTAGTGTAAGGCAACGTTGTTAAAAAAGTAAGGAAAGTTAGTTAGTGAAAAACATTAAAATATATCAGTCCTGTCAAACTATCTAAATATATAAAACTCAAAGGTGACTGATATAGTGATCTATCAACGCGCAGCCCAAACCACTAGACGGATCGGACTGAAATTTGGCATGCAGGTAGATGTTATGACGTAGGCATCCGCTAAGAAAGGATTTTGATTGATTTTACCAGCTCTAAGGCGATAAAATAGGGGATGAAAGTTTGTTGAAATTAAACGTTGATTAAGATGAGGCCTTAATTTTCAACACACGCTAAACAAAAGTAAAGCCGCAAAAACTATACCTATAAGTGTAGGAGAGCCATGCTTCGGCACGAATGGGCCGGCTCGACCGGAGTGATACCACGGCCTCACAGAAAACCGGCGTGAAATAACCACAGCGTTGTGTTTCGCCGTGTGAGTGAGGTTACCGGAGGCCCAAACCTTGCCCTCCCCCAATCCCTCCTACATCCCTAAATCTCCATATCCCTAATCCCCAAAAGGTCGGCAACGCACTCGTAACGCCTCCGTTGCGAGTTTTCATGGGCGGCGTTGATTGCGATCAGGTAATTACCAGGTAATTACCATCAGGTTATCCGTCTGCTCGTTTGCAGACATATTAAATTAAAAAAAAACTAATTAATAATAATATTTCTTAACGCGAGTCAGTCAATCAGTCCTGTCTATCTAGGAATACTCACAATTACAAGTAATTTTTGAAACCTTAAACAAACTTAAATAATTTAATTATGAAGACGACAAATTGCAATCGTGCCGACTCAGATTAAAGTCTTGAAACAGACTCATTTTACAAATGGCTAACAAATCTTAGATCTCACTGGATGTGTGCTTAACCTAAATTGAGGAATAAACATTTATAATAATTTTGTCTAATTAATTTTATTTTTTCTACGTAAATTTTATTATGATATTTGGCATAACGTGGTAAATTTCTTATTGTATCTTATAAGTTGTATAACTGTGATAATTGCAAAATATAATCTCATTGATGCACGTAATTTAATGTAAAGTAGATATTCTAGATATTCATAAATATAATTGTAATTTAATCTAAGATAACATTTAGACGACATGGTCTCGTACTTTTGTTTTATTTTGTTGAAGTTATACATAAATAAATGAATAAATAAATGTGCCTTGGGTTTCTATACAAAATCTCTTTGAAATGATCTCTGCAATTCAATTTGCAATTTCAATTCAAATTTTGATTGAGAACGTATTATTACGTGTTTTGTCTGATGATATAAATTATGAGGTTTTGAGGAAATAAGAGCGATCTCATGCGTGAGGGATTGAAAAAGTCAAAAATCATTTATTCCAATTAGACCTTTACAGACACTTTTGAATGTCAAACAAAATTTTGAAGATATAGTGTCAGTCTGTCGGTCAGTCCTCTTAGTGAAGCTATTTGCTCGTTCCAAAGTGTAGATTCCGATGGAGAAGAACGAGCAAGAAACTCCACGGTAACTCTTTTTAAATCAGTTTCACATACAGATTCCTTTTACAAACAGTTGGAAAAATTACCATTCGATACTTTTATTGGCAAACTACATAGCTATAGTAGAAACAAAAGTTCGTTGTTGCGGGTGTCCTTGGGCATCGCTGATTGCTTACCATCAGGTAATCCGTCTGCTCGTTTGCCGACCTATCACAAAAAATACTTTTTAAGATTATTTAGACACCACAGACCTATATATCGAAAACATTGTGAGGAGATGTGGACTCGTAATTTCTAATTGTACGCTTAAAATCGCCATTCCACCTTGATCAAGCGTTGTGATTAATGCTCAAACCTTCTCCGTGTGAGAAGTAGTCTTGGCTCAGCAGTGGGCACTTATAGGCTGTTAATATGATGTGCTATGTATGTTTGTGTCCCAAAATCTATTGGCACGGTGGCTGGGGAACTGGCTACCGTGCAACGTGTCGGCCTTTCGATTCTCGCACGGACCAAGTTTGCATGATCCATAAATTGTTGTTTCGGGTCTGGGTGTGATGTGTATGTGAAATTGTATGTTTGTAAACTGACAACCACGACACCGGAGGAAACCCTGGGAAAACGTCCTTTTAAGAAAAATAATAATAAAATAAAACAATGTCTGTATTCTAGTTGGTTCATCTTATAATTGTTTTTCAGAGGGAAAAAGTATGAAAAAGATGGGTATGGCGATGATTCCCCTGGTGTTCCACGTGGGAGCCACATCGACTTGGATGATGCTGACCGGCATCATGGCTGCCAAGTCTGTGGCCATCGGTCTAGCTCTACTGGTGTTCAAGATCGCTGTCAGCTCTGCAAAGGTATGAGATTTTATTAAAATACTAGCTTTAGCTTCTTCAGTATGTTGATAAAAAGCATCCAATGTGGTATCCCAGGGTATCAACTATCTCTCTGCCTAGAGCAGGAGAAGGAACGGGATGGCTTTTAGTCAGTAAGAGTCTGACACTCCTTCTCGCGTCTCCCTGGGTGGGAGAAGTCATTTTATGATTTTCCCCTACCAAAAAAAGGATACCTATCAACTATCCACGTGCTAAATTTCAACCAAGTCGTTCGAGCCGTTTTCGAGTGAAACAAATAAAAAAAAATTTTACAAAATAAAAAAACCGCCTTCAAAAAAAGTCAAGCAATAAAAGTTCCTACACTAAAAAGTAAAAAATAACAATTTGAATTACTGTAAAAAAACTTAATTTATAGGTATACTTATTTGACATTAATATTTTGCAAATATTCAAAATTTATTACTTATTTTTGGAGTCGGTGCCAGCATTTTAATGTTGAAACTTAATGTTAGTTAGCTTTTTAATATCCGGTGCCATTTTTCGTACATAATGCTTAAACATTTTCAATGTACTTAAAATGTTTTTGTAAGTATATATTTTTTATTTAAAAAAAATGTGCAAATCGGACATTTTTTGTAGAGAAGTCTAATCTGTATTTATGTCTTAATTAATATACCTATATTTGAGTATGCAAATAGGTATTAAGTAGTTTTATAATTAAGTAAGAGGTAGTTTTTCAAGGGATTGTTGCCCATTTGTATTTCCTTGCATGGGCTGGCACCGACTCCAAAAATAAGTAATAAATTTTGAATATTTGCAAAATATTAATGTCAAATAAGTATACCTATAAATTAAGTTTTGTTACAGTAATTCAAATTGTTATTTTTTACTTTTTAGTGTAGGAACTTTTATTGCTTGACTTTTTTTGAAGGCGGTTTTTTTATTTTGTAAAATTTTTTTTTATTTGTAGCAGTTTAGTGTTTTTTTTTATTATAATGTGTTATGGCAAAGAAGTCAATATCGTTCCTACATTTCTTTTGAAAAAGTTACCAATGTCATACTTATACGTAGAAATACATATCATAGTACATTGTTACTGTGTAATCGTTTTGATCTCGAGGAGAGATGATATGATGCATAAGATACTTATGACTTATAGTTAAAATAAAATAATAATCTTATCATAAATTCATATTAGTTCTCGCCAAATAACAAAAAACTAGATATTTTCATCAACAGACAGATAAAGTTCAAAGATACCAAATGCAATCTAATTTAGTATCTATGATTAAATACATTCGTACATAGAAAAAAGACCGATGCAATTATTGTTTTGTATCAATTGTAACCCATTAAATGAAGAATACTATTTTGTTATTACTAAGAACATTCATATATAGACAAGTTGGTAAAAATACAAAAGACCATCGCTATTGTAAATATACATTTATGACTCATTCAATGTATGAACCTTTTTTAAGTAAGTATTATCTACATATGTGCACACAAAAGAAACACAATTATTGTTTTGTACGACGCAATTATTGTTTTGTAACCCATTTAAAACGACTGTTTTGTTAAAAATGCCAATGAATTCTCTTAGCCTATTACCAGGAAAACGATAAGAACACAATGACGCATTTCACCACTAATGTGTAAACGCAGTCCACGTGGACTAATGCAAAATAGCCAATACTAGGCCAAACTCCGCCCCCAAAGGTGTGCGGTCCCGCTCTAGAACCTTTCGGCCCCATCGGCCATCTGTTCTACGGGCAATGTGCTGTGCCCACTGTCACTTAAGTTTGGCATTTCTTCGGGCTATGTCGGTGACGCTGGTTCTTCTGCGGATTTCTTCATTTCTGATTCGAACATGCACGGAAACTATGAGCATAGCCCTTTCCATTGCTCTTGACAGCTCTAATAAGCTTACACAATACTAGGCCCCATGCCAACCTTCCAGCTTCATCATCACATCAGTTCAATAGAAACTTACAGCCAAAGTGCATCTTATAACAATTCTAACAAGCCCAAACACGGCTAGGATATATTAATTAGGTACGCAGTTCCAGTGCCTACCTTCCAGCTCCATAATCATCATTAAATCAGTTCGATGATAACATTTCCAACATAATTATTTAAGATCATTGGTTTACAGTGCATTTTCATAGTTGCTGAACTACCTTGATTGTGATATCTATGCAAGTTTCATCACCCATTTCTGATCTTCTTCACCAGTTCCACCTCATCAAATATTACTTTTTGACTGTAAATGCTTGAGTGCTCTATGAAAATATTAAAATTACTATATAGTTGCCTATAATATTTGAGGAGTTCCCTCGATTTCTCATGGATCCCATCATCAAAACTCGATTTTGAAAAGAATGGGACCAATCTGGAAGCATATCCTTTCAATCATAAAAAAAAATTTGCAAATCCGTCCATAAACGACGGAGTTCTGAGGTAACAAACATAAAAAAATAAATAAAAAAAAAAAAAATACAATCGAATTGAGAACCTCCTCCTTTTTTTGAAGTCGGTTAAAAATAAGAAACAAACATAAATCCATACATTTTCACAACTTTTTACATTTATAATTTGATTGACTGCACGGTTGGCGCGGTGGCTGGGCAACTGGCTGCCGTGCAACATGCCGCGGGTTCGATTCCCGCACGGAACAACCCTTTGTGTGATCCACAGATTGTTGTTCCGGGTCTAGGTGTGATGTACATGTGGAATTGTATGTTTGTAAATGCACCCACGACACAGGAGAAAATCTTAGTGTGGGGCAATGTTTTAAAAAAAAAAATAGTAGGTTAATAGGATAAAATCACACTTTGATTAATTCATTTTACTATGTAAGTACTAATGTAGTTTCGTCTTTTTCTATCAAATTGACAAGAAATAACAACTTTTCGTTGTAGGGCAAATAGTGAAATTTCCTGATGGTAAGCAATCAATGCTGACCATGTCAAGAAAAGTGCATTGTGATTGCGTTATATCAGCCCGCTATTATGTGTCGCGGGTTCAATTTCCGTACGCGACAACACACTTGCAATAGGTACCAAAAGTAAATCATATGGAATAAAAACAAAATATTATGTTTTTAACAAAACTAAGAACTGAACTAAAAACTATTTATTATGTTTTCGACTTGCTCACGTAATAATTTGACGAGATACTCGACTAGTTTCAAGCCACGCTAGTCGCCGAGTCGCGTGTCGCGGAATGCTGCTAATGAATATGGGCCTCTAGCATGGCTTGAAACTAGTCGAGTATCTCGTCAAATTATTACGTGAGTAAGCCGAAAACATAATAAATAATTTAGAATGTCTCACGAAAGTTATAATAAAGAACTAAAAACTTCCGAATCTAATAATTTATCTCACAAAAATCTTACTAATAATAAAAATGCGAAAGTTACGATGTTTGGATGTTTGTTAATCAATCACGCCAAAACGGCTGGACGGATCTGTATGTAATTTGGCACAGGCATGGGATACACTCCGGAAAAGGACAAACTAAGGCTACTTTTTATCAACATATCCAGGGGCGGCGTAAGGTGTGGGCGACGTGGGCCACCGCCCACGGCCTCGCGGTACAGAGGCCTCGCGCCTCATGAATTTCTTGCCCACATTCAAATTAGGTAGGTCTTGCGTCGCAGGCAAACTAGTAATATATATTTTATATCCCTAAAAACCAAAACAACTATAATATTACGAATGTATGTATGTCAATGCCAGTCTCATGAACCCGCCACTAATGGCCGCCACAGATACAAAAAAAACCACAGACAATATTTGTTGCATGTCAGTACAATACTTTTTTTATTCTGTCTGTGCTACTATGCATTCTTGTCATTAGCGTTACGGAGATCGCGACGGTGATAAACGACTGACAGGAAGACGGTGATTGCTTCGAAAATGTGTTAAGTTGCCGCGTTATAAATTTCACTTTTATTTTGAACTGTCGCTGGAAGAGGTTTGGTTCCCGTTTTGGGCACATATGTAATTAGCAAGCCAGGTTAAGATCAATGGAAATTGAGAAATTATCTCCGGCCACCATAAGCGTAGGTCTGCGTACGGCGCGTAGCGTTCCGCGGGCGCCTCAAAGAGCCAATAGACCACTACAGACGAGGCCCTATAGGCTGATGTTCAGCCAGGGTTGCGGGGTAAGCGCAATGAGTCACCACGGCCTCGGCCCAGAGCAGGAGAAGGAACGGAAGGAAAAGGAGGGTTTTTAGTCAGTAACAGTGTGACACTCTCTCTCGTCATACCCTCGGCGAGCGAAGCCAGTTTATGATTATCAAAAGAAACTCCCTCATAGTCAGACATAATCACTAGACTAGAGCGTTCATTGACGATGTCAACAATGCTAGGACAAAACAAAAAAATAAACATAAAACATACAAAAAATCTTAGTACATTATTTATTTATTTATCAAAACTTATTCTTTCTATCTTTACACTTACATTTTTCCCTAATGCGACAGATAAGACCTTAAATTATCACTACATAGTATAATAAATATGCTTAAATCTTTAAAACTACGCTACGGATTTTCATGTGTTTTTTTTAATAGACAGAGTGATTGAAGAGGATGGTTTATATGTATAATGACATTAATTAAATAGTGGAGAAATTTAGTATCAGCATAACACCCGAGCGAAGCCGGGGCGGGTCGCTAGTTTATTATATTTTAATGATCTGACTCCAAATTTCGAGTCTAGACTCGTTAAAATTACATTACTTATATTATAATAATTTGAAAGTTATTTCGATGCACTAGACTATAATTTACGACCTAGATTTGGACCTAGGCTGAAATTATTTAGCCAGACGTTAATGAAAGTGTAATTTGTAACTATTCAAATAATGACTTCATGATGTTCTTAATTCGTAATTTTATGTAGTCACGGCATATGAATGATTAATTAATATACTCCATAATCATCATCATCATTATAAGTGTGGGAGAGCCGAGCTTCGGCACGAATGGGTCGCCTCGACCGGAGTGATACCAC